TTAAATTATTCATTACTAGATAATTCCAAATTGCCAATCAACTGCAAATTAATTAGCATCAATATCTGGAATGTTGCTTACTTGTAGAATGCATGAAATCATGATATTGATGGTTATAACTTGATTTCATTACCATGTAATGTTCTCTTGACAATAACATGCATACAGAAGCTATACGTTTCACAGTTGACGATGATTGCCTCTCTAAGCTATGTTTTTGGCGTTTTTACACCAACACGTTTTTTTTGTTTTGCATTAAATTATATTTGCATATGCATTGTATATGCATTTATATAATACTGTACATTCGTAACGTTGCTTTTCATTGGATAATCGTGACGTTTATATTGATTATATAAACGACTGCTGTCATTTTGAGAAGAAATCTAATTTTTTTTCTCTCTAAAAATAAGATGCTTGCTGTATTATAAATCCGTTATAAATATTTCTAGCGGCTCGGGGGTTATTTTTCTGAACAACCGTTTATATATGGCCATATAACCTGTCAAAAATCTTTATAACTAATAATATAAATTACAAAAAAGTACAATACAAAGACAAGAACTTCAAAGCAATTAAAAACAGTGCTATTATTCGATCTGATCAAGTATATTAAAGACATTAATACGAGTACACGTCGCGTATTAAGTACTGTATACATATTATATTTTTCTGGTAAACTTCAATGGATTGGAAGACATTTGCTGCTATATCTGTAGTCTATAAATTATTCGTATAATTTTAAGACAGAGACTGATTCCTTTGGGAACCGTATTATTTTAGCATATTGAATGTTGATTTATTGTGAATTCTGACTGTTTAAATTGCCAATAATCCAACTTATTGTTTTCTCTTTTTTTACTAATACGATGAAGAAATTTAATTCTAAATATTTGTCTCTGGACTTTTGTCCTCTGAAGAAAACGAACTCTCCATGGACCCATTAGTAAAGTGTTCTTTTTCTGAAAAGTGTTTCTTCGTTCAGTCATAGAACTAAGTATAAACAATGTTTTTAAATTGTTGACATGACTTTATTTGAATAAATAAAGAATAATTTTAATAATTTTAATAATCATATGAATAATTTTCTTTTAGTTCCTCATCAGTCACTAATTATTTATGATTTTAGTGGTTAGCCTGTCCACTGCCCTTGTGCCCTGTCCTGTTTTTGTTTTGGGGTCCTTCTGGGCTTCTTGCCACTGGCTCTTGTTGCTGGGTCGGGTGGGATTGCCTTCATTAAACGCCGCCTTTCCTTGTTGATCTTGTTTATCATATTTAATGTAATTTGATTCTAAAATAATCGTATCTCTGCGTTCTTTTTACCCGAATTATTAAACCAATGTTTGATTATATACGTATGTTTAATCACCGCTCGACCTAATTTCCATTTGTATCTTAAGAACAAGAAAATGATAGACAATAAATTGAAAAGAAAACGTTAGAATTTTAATAATGATATTTTGCAGTATTTTTAATATTGATGTGTTTCGCAAAAGTATACGTTTTTGGTCCGATGTTTTAAATCTTATTCGTTAATGATTAATAATGGAATAACGTTAACGGAAAAATAACAATTTGATAACAGAATAGAAAAATCAAATAGTTTTGATTGTAATTGTATTTCCTATGCATACTTAATTAATTTTGTTTGAACATATACCAATAATTAATAATCACTTAATCAGGAGTAGAATCTTGAAAAAAAAAACTACCAGAATTACTATAACTAAATAGCTGTAAACGAAAAGAAATCCATTGAAATATCATTACAACCATCTTGAATATTATGCTATGGCGTTTGGCTTACAATGCCATTTTTACTAAACATATCTTGTTAGATCTTGTTTATCAATCATTTTTGAGTTTTCACCAATTCTTTATAACTTATTTAATATGTATGATACGCGTCTCATCTTCCCTAATTTGTTTATCTATAAACATAATAGTTTGTGGTGCCGACTTTGGCATATTGTAATTCAATCAAGCCGAAAGAAGGCAAATTTCGAAACTTCTGACACTTCCTAGGTCAAAACATTAAGGCGATTTAAATAAGACTGGGCACATTGCAAAGAAACCAAGTATCAAATATGTTTATGAGACCAGTGATTGCTAGTTAACTTTTCATGTGTATATCAATCAGTAACAGTAAAACCTGTACAAGAGCAACAACATTTGGACACACATATTATTGTTGTTACTCGTTTATCTCCAGACAGGTACAATGTATATTTGAGGTTTTAGATTTGTAAAAGTTTAAACTATTGATGTAAGAAATTAATTGCTCTTTAGAAGGCCGCTCTGAGATAATTGCACTGTACCTTACATTTCTTTAGAAAAAAATATATTATTCTGTATATAGTCTGACCTATAAAACATTCTTTTACATGTTTATTGCAGTAGTAAATTGTGAATTATTTATGGAAGAGAACCAAAATATTTCAATGTCTATAGTGACAAATATATGTAAGATCTGGATGTTTTCAGTGTATAGTGTAAATGATTTATATGTTTTATACGTTTTCCTGCTGAGTTAATATGGCGCAGTGACATGTCTGTTGTCACAAAACAAAGTGAATTGTCTGAGACAAAGCGCTTTCTTAATATAACCTTCTATTTTATAAGACGTTCACTAAAGAGGATTCGAAAAGTCTGTAAAAAAATAAAACCTTTCGCAGACATCTTAAATAACTTTGATGTATATTACAATGGAAATTCGAAACAATTTTGTATTATTCTGCTAGTCGTTATTATCCTGAAAGATTAATAAAATTGCAAGAACCAGATAAAATCTGACAATAAATCACTCTGTGATAAATGTAAAGTCATTATCTCAAAAGAAACCTCAGATATCAAATATGCTTTCTGGGAAATTATGTATAGAGATTTAGAAGTGATGCTTTGCTTTGTTCAAATGCTAGAGTTACACGTTAAATTTTCTTCATATCTATCCTCTAAAGCTAATAAATTTGTCATTTTTCTCTTATAAAATGATGACATTGTTGAAAAAAATAGAAAGAATGAAAATGATTACAAGTGCATTTGTACCTGATTAAAAAGTTACTTGACGCATCTGTATGCATTTAGATTATCTTAAAACTTCCTTGTGTTAACACATGTAGTTAATTAATCCACAAATCTTATTAAGATGCGGCCTCGTTATCTACACATTCTCAAGGAACCAACAAAATCGAAAGTAACTAACGAGTTTGCATGAAAATTATATTGAATATCGATATTTAGTGTGATTTCTAGCCAAAATTGAGCTTGAAGATTTTTTTTTCTTAGTCCATTTTGTGCACAATAAAACAATTATTCCGAAAAAACGGAATGAGCACATGATATGTATCCTTGAACGCAAATGTTTGGTCTATACCTACATCAAATGGTATACAAATCTCCAAAACCAATTTCCATTCCCTTCATGTAAAAAATCTAAGTTGATATATTTTAATGCATTTTAACATATGATTTAGAAAAAAATTGGCAAAATTTGAAAATATTGTAGGATCAGTTTGATTAAGCCTACCCATGGACTGCAGAGGTAAATGCAACATACTGTCCACCCCCAGTACCGATGTGAAAAGTACTTTTGCATTCCATTCTGCTATATATCTTTACACAAAAGTTATAACTAAGGCATTGTAAAAATATCAAATTGTAAATATATCACACATAAAATCTCACTTATTATGAGAACAATTATTACAGTGCAAATAAGATTGTGACAAATAGACGTCATCCAGACAATTCATAAGGTCAAGTACCGGACAAACCTTATAAATAAACATTTACATATTTCCAGAAATAAATCTGACTTTTAATTGTGCCAATATAAGTTGCATTACGAAGACAAACTTATGTGATATAAATTTTGTGGAGCAATATTCAGAACAAGCAGTATGCTGTTTAAGATTACGTAAAAGTAAAAGATCTTCTCTTTGGTCCCATTACCTTAGCTATCAAGAAACAATACGCTTTGTTGATAAAAAGAGTGGGGCAGTCTTTTTTATATTTTAGGCAGTTTTTATATTTTATCCTAAACAATTCTATTTATCAACGATTGATAAATCCCCATCAAAAAAGCCAAACGTTTGAAATATGTATCTGATTTAACTCAACCTGACCCCCCCCCCCCAAAAAAAAAAGAACATTAAAATAGAGCTGAACCCGTCTATTTTACGAATTCAAATTACTAATTGTCTTTAAAAATACTGCACACGCAAGGTAAATATTGGAATACCCCATCATTCTTTATAAAATGTATAATTTTTTTACTTAGGTTATTAATTTTCTTATTATCTTATATTAAATGCTGTTTTTATGTGCATTTTATTATATATTATCATATTCTATTGTCGTTCATTTCATCGTTTAAAAGCACATTATTTCTCGGTAATGATTAAATTTTTCATTATGCAGAAAGGGTAAATATGTTTTAAATAATGTTGTAATAACTGACTTAGAACATGCGAGATGTTCATCGCCTTAATAAAATAATGCTGAATGTGAAAAAATAAATTTGGATAAAGGTAGCAAAATGTAAACAAAGTGAAACAACATACTTATTCACTATAACTGAACTGAGTACAAAAAAAAAATAAAAAAAATTAGAAGATCTATAAAAAAAAAAGAAAATAAAAAAAAGTAGAAAAAATTGCTTAGAAATAAGGGCAATGAGTGAGTAACTTTTGGAAACTGTAAAAGGCTACCAAAAAATAAAATTATATCATTTATGAGGGTAAATAGACCTTTAATGTATACACAAAAGTATTTTCGAAATCATGGTTATGGTTTTTAACAATAAGAGTGAAAAAAGAGACTTTTACAAATGTACATGCATGTGTTTTTGAAATCAATAATAAACAATAAATGAGATAAAGAAGAAAAAGAGAGATTTGGACAAATGAAATAAGTGTTATTATATAATGTATGTAATATTATACTATTGACTGTCATAGACAAAGTCACCGTACTAAACTTAAAAACTAAAATGCACTTACCTTATTTTATCAGGAATTGGTGATACTCTACACGTTCTTGACTTATTCCCACCTATCATTGTATATCCACATTTAAATCTTTCCATTGAATATTAAACATTATTTCCACTCCATTTATATATATTTTAAACACTAGTGTAAATTTTTAGATAAAAACTTTCAAGCTGATCTGTTGTATTGTCGATCTAGTTCAAGATAAGTAATTTAAAGCACAAGGACGATGTTACAATGTTTCTCTTTGAATAGTTCCACTGCAGTATCCCTTTGTATGGCTGTCAAGATAAATATATATGAATTATTTGCTATTGATCTTCAGTGTTTGTCCTGATATTGTCATTGCACAATCTACAGTCCAAATAACGTCAATTTACATCCACTAGCGCTTGTATATAAAGTGCTTCTTTTTCTCGGCGAATTGGTGATCATGTCTGGAAAAAAAACATTTGTGACGTGTATTTAGCTAATTTAAACATTTATTTTTAATTAAAATCATAAAGAATACGATTTCTTTTGGTGTTCAAAGTCTTTAAAGCTGCACACTGCCTCATCCATGCCATTTCTATAATAACTATAATGAATTGCAAATAATTTTGAAATCTACAAATTGTGTGGCTTATGGATACCTTAGTCACCTTAATTTCACTTCAAAAACACATTCCTGCAGAATCAGCACTTACTCATTTAGTTTGAAGTAAAACATTATGAAACATATTTGTTATCTTATTAGCTAATATAAATTATAATGCGTTTATTCACACTTTTTCATAATCTTCAGTCTTTTTACATATTTTTCTTAAGTTTGACTTTTTGAATACTTTTATATATATTTGGGGACATGCCGCTTTAACTTTATCCAGCAACGGAAGTTAAATATAACATCATTCAGGGGCAAGCTAGTGCATTTATTATACACTGAGTTAAGAATTACTTTTTTACTATCCACCAATTATAAAGTTACTCTGGAATCAATAACAGAATGGATATAGATTTCAGTGTGACTGCTCACATTTCCAGCATATTCAATTAAGTAAGGCTTTGATATTTAAGCTTTTATATTAATGTTTAGACTGATATCTAAGCTCTATGAAATCTGTTTAACCATGTTTGAAGGCATAACGATTGCTTTACAACATTGTATTGGTTATCCGAGACGGACTTGCGTTTGTGAAAAACAGCATTTCATGATGAAATGTTTTCGCTTAGAGACAAAATTTTATTCTATGCGGTGTATACTAATCATTGAATCATAGTTTGGGGACCTTTCTGTTGAAAATGTGTCAGAGTTAAATCGTATACATATACATGCACATTGCGTTAACTGGAGTGCAGGTATTAGTTACCCGCACACCAGATCATGCCCATTGATTTACTCATTTTGCTGGGATTTATAGATTGTGACGGCAGAGAAAGGGAAAGCGACAGAAATATCATATGTATTCAGATGTTCGTTCATTGGTTCCTTTTTGCCGGGGTTTTATATGTGACAACAGGCAACGTGTTTTATGTTTGACTATGATACAAAAGAGAAAGATCATCAAAACACTCGGCAATCTGATTACTTCTCGGGGGCTACGCCCACTCGTACAAATAAGATAGCTTCGTGTTTCGATGCTCTTTCTATTACTTATAGGGGTGTATTTGTTAGACAAATAACAACGATGATCCTGCTGCTACTGCAACTGCTGATGATGATAATATTGATAATCATACATAATCAAACAAGCCATTGTAAAATAAACCACTTTCAAATACAATTTAAGAGACAAACGTAACAGTAAATGTCGCATATGGCTTAGGTGAAACTATTTCTAATCTACCTAAGTCATTAACAAGTAGCGATTAAATCATGCAAATCAATGTACAAGTTGATTTGTATCTTGATAATATATCAGAGACATAGATAACATCTACATCTCTGATAATATATAATATATAGGTGAAAAGTCAAAGGTACGATGATGAAAAGTACAGCAAGGTGACAAGTCGACACCACGATGATAAAAAGTCTAACGAAACCATGATGGTGAAAGGTCGAAAGTACGATTCTGTACGTGGGGTTTTACCATCGTAGTTGCATTATTTTGACTTTTCACCATCCTACTTCCGACTTTTCATAATCGTGTTTCCGACTAATCACCATTGTATATCCGTTATTTCGACTTTTCACCATCGTAATTTCGTATTTTCGTTGTTTCGAGTTATGCGTGTCGCGAAGGCGCTAACGGGACACCGTATCTTTCAGTATTGATTTATCAAACTATTTTTGAAAAACACCGTATCTTTCAGTATTGATTTATCAAACTATTTTTGAAAAATCGGTTTAATCTTAAATATATGAACTTTAAACTAGAAACTTGTTTTCTCTTGATAAAGTTAGGGGTGTATTGGGAAAAAAATTGTACAAGTAATTATTCATTCGAACAGACATTTTGAATTGAACGGATTAAAGCATGGCATTTAAAAATATTTTCATGGTTTTGATTTCACTTCAAATTCTCATTGTGGCCCAGGAAATAACTGATCAAGAACTGGAGGAAACAAATCGCCACAAGCCTTACCGCGAACTGCCTTATTGTCCAAGTGAGTACTAAATATTTCTTCATAAAGAGGGCTTAGATATTTAGGGTACCATTTGTAGGGTACTTAAAATGTATAATATCGAAAGTTACACTTGGACTTGAAAAAATACTTTCTATAAATTAAAGTGCCGTTATGTGAGAAGACTTGGCACTCATAAACGCCAGGACAACAGGCAGAAAGGAAAAGGTAATACTATAATACTTGCATGAATGCCAATTTGTCTGTTTCCAGCGACATGTCATTTTATTATTATTATTTTTTGTTTTATTGATCAAATATAATTATATGCATGTACATTATGGATTATAAACATACAACTTTTTTTACAAATATAGTTTCATACAAGGATGCATTTAGAATTATATAATTATATAACAGCTATAATAAAAGTATTCAAAGTAGAACATAGAACACAACCATAACATTCTTCTTTACACTATAAGAATCTCATACCGGCTGTCGTTACAGACCGGAATATCTAGCTCTCGGATAACTGTTTACAGCAGTAACGAGGCCCCGAGTTACCCGAGAGCTAGATATTCCCGTCTGTACCAACAACCGGTGTTTGATTTTTTTTCTTGCATATTACATGTTAATTATTTTCGAAACAGAAATTATAAAAACTGATATTCTCATTACGCACTTTTTTTTATAATAGCGTATGAACATACAACTTCATTTATAACAGGAAAATGACGTCATCATAAGAACGCGATTCATTCATAAAGGCGCGCGTCAATGACATCATTTAAAGCACGCGACTTGTCTAACATGGGGTGTAAGACAGAGTTTTCTAGCACCGGTGTAAACGGTAGATAATTCCTGTCTGAGATGCAAGAATCATTCATCTGCACTCTGTCACTGTACATTTTGTACTTTAGAAGGAAAAGAATACAATTATGTTCATTATAACTTATGCCACATTGTAAGGTTGTTCAAAAGAAACATATGAATTTTAACAAACGAACTTTGCCCACTATCATTCCAGACCAAGGAGAATCCGAGAATGGTAGATGGCGCTTGAATAGAAAAGATGGTTCCAAAAGATGTATTCTTGACTGCAACAAAGGTTATAGTCCAAATGGATGCCACGTTATCAGGAAAGATAGCTATGGAGAATGGAATTACAATATCTCATCATGTGTTAAAGGTTAGTTCTCAATGCAAGAAAATAGTTTATTCAGCATTAAACATTTTACAATATTTTTAGCATACAAAGTATACATATACATAAAAAACAACAACAAAAAAACCCCACAAAAAACACACAAAAACACGAACAAGAGTCGTCTTCACATGATTAATAATTACATCATCGAAAGCCATTTTATTATATACATGTAGTTGTCATTTAATATTTTTAATTGTATTCGATTTGACATTTGATAACAAACTATTTTAATTATCTTTTATTATCATACATTTATGATTAAGTATATGTATAAAGTTTACCGATGATTATGTTAGCCGTTATGTAATTCAAATTAATCCTAACTCATTCTACAATTTGATTGTTGATAATCGTAACTCACTATACTTGTGCGATTTGATTGTGGAGCATCTTAACTCATTCTCAAGTGCGATTTGATTGTTAATAATCTTGATTGTGGATAATCTTAACTCACTATACTTGTGCGATTTGATTGTGCAGCATCTTAACTCATTCTCAAGTGCGATTTGATTGTGGATAATCTTAACTCATTCTCAAGTGCGATTTCATTGTTGAATGGTTTTATGCACATCTATGTGTATTACAGACGAATGGTTAAGTAGCAAAAAAGTGGCATGTTACACAGCGATTTTTGGAGCTATAGCCGCATCTCCTTACCTTCTGAGCCTTCTAGGATTTGGTTCTGTTGGAATACTAGCTGGTTCATTTGCAGCCAAATGGATGGCATATATTGTATGTATGCCTACATGTTTGTTTTATCTGTAAATGAATATACACTATCCGTTTCTGAACCGTTCAAAGTTGTTTCTTATTTTATAATGAAATGTCGCATACCACCTGTGTGTAGTATGTAGATAAAATTATCACTTGTAGAATATGTGACTGATCATTTTATCAAAATAGTACCACAAAGAAAACTTTTTGCAAGCATAACGGGAAAAGTAAGAGCTTAAATGGAAATTTATATACCAATGGAATCAGCAAATATCTACATATAACTTTGTATTTCTTCATTATTTAAATATTGAAAGATATTACAAAAAATAGCAAATACCATTAGCAGTGACACATTGTTACCGTAAATAATGTCACGTGATCATTCTCCATGAATTTTGCTATAACTGGTAATCTATCGTTTCTGGATATATTGTTCAAAACAGAATAATAATCATGTCAATATAACACAATCATGACAAATGTACTGCACATCATGTTGCTTTTCAGGGTATTGTTTCTAAAGGTAGTGTATTTGCGTGGCTTCAAAGTCTTGGTATGACTGGTATAAGTAAAGCGGCGATTCTAAAGGCCATGGGTTCTGCTGCAGTGTTTGTGATGGTATGATAGGCATATTCTCAGAAAATCCTTGTGAAAACGAATGAAACCGATATATGGTAATTTGTCGAAGGACACGTGATTTGCTGATAAACTCTTTAGAATTTGTTGCTTTAAAAACAAACAAAATGAAATATATTCATGCCATAGACTTTTATTAATTCATTTTTTAATGTTGAACAGTATATTTATCAAAATTTGTAGTTATATAAGATAACTATGTACATGATAAGCTTATCTTTCTAGTGATGATTCGATAAGAATGTTGTTTTACTACAACAACAATTTAATTTCTTATAGAAGTGTAGATTTTAGTTGTAAGATATTGTTTTTCTTATCTTTGTTACTTGTTTTTTGTTACAATTAGTACACTTGCATTAAAGAGAGGTAAAGATATACATGCACTGACACAAATATTGGTGTAAAGATCAACAACATTACAGAACGTAGCCAATAGAAAGTAGGGATGTCATCCGGAGTCCGGATATCCGAACGTTCGAATCACGATTCGGTGTCCGAATACAATTTTCAGATCCGGATATTCGTATAAAATATTTCAGCTAGAACAATGAACTGAAAACATGTCATAATTGTGTGTCGTATGCTTCATTGAACGCCGCCTTTCCTTGTTGACCTTGTTTATCATATTTTTTGCGTTAAGATAACCGACATCGTCATGGTAATAACACCTTTATAGCGTACCTAAGATATGGCAATACGCATCATATACGTATACACTGCAGTCCATCAAATATCAATAATTACGTGAAGAAAATATATATCACAGATGCACTTTGTAGTCGCGTGAGTGTGGATTCAGTAAAAATGTGTTTCATGCACGCCGTGTGAAAACTGCAACTTCGCCAAAAATGATTGAAAAATTAAACGATTTGATTGCCACTGGTGCAAGATTTATAACTAGGTATAAAGCTAAATGCGTTGGTTTCTCTGTAGGAGCCGCTCATACAATTCTAATATGTAATTTAGAAATGAGAAGGATAAGTGACTGATGGATACACCATCTCCTTACAAAAGAGCAAAACTTGCTCGGGTAAGATCTCCAAACAATTGTTGAAATAGTTCCCTTAATCTTTCGCAAATATCGCCACTGGAGATGAGACGTGGGTTCACGTTTATGAGCCCAAGCGATAGATACATAACGAAATATAGGAAACCAAAGGAAGTCAACAACCTGGCATAGCAAAACGTACCATGAGTATGAGCGTCAAATATGTCATGTATGTAATTTTCTTTACCAATAAAGGTCCTGCTATTCAAATTGCCGTACCAAAGGGTAAATATGTAAATGCCAAGTTTTACAAAGGCAATGTCCTTCATAAATTAAAGAAATATTTCAAAAACCGTCGACCAGCAACTGGTCACCGTGGTGTCAGGTGGTTGACTGACAATGCTTCGTCACACAAAGCGGTCATTGTACGAGAATATCTGAAACAGGAAAAAGTTGTCGAGCTTCTTCACCCTCTTTATTCGCCAGATATTGCCCCTTCTGACTTTTTCCTATTTTCGAGGCTCATAAAACACCTTGCTGGAAGAAAATATCAAACGCGAAAGAATCTCGGGTGTCTGAACAGTATACCTCGAAAAGATTATGAAAACGCATTTAAAAATTGGATTTAAAGACTAAAACGTTGTATATCACATGGTGGTGAGTATTTTGAAGGATTGTGATAATTATTTTGGCACTGTTTGTTAAGCACTTCTGAAAATTTCCAGACAGGTTATATGGCCGCATATAGACAGTTGTTTGCAATATAACCCTATAACCCTTGCCTAGCGGCCCGGCTCGGCTTATATATACAAACTCCGTATATATAGGTCCATATAACCTGCCAAAAATCTTCATCACATTACGTAATCATAATTAAAGATAAGCACATCCAGATTTCATGATGGCATTTTCATCAACATACAGATCGCTTAGCACTTCTATGTTATGTTAAATATCGTCACAGTGATCACGGCCAAACCTAATTATTTCTATTTTTAAGAATAAAGAAATAATTTCCTTATATTTGATTATAAATGCTTTTTTTGTATATGGAACCTTCGCACACTTGACACAAGTACATTGTGATCGTTAAACTTTTAACACATACTTAACAATTTTAAGTTGCTTCTTCAAACACGTAAATATTTTATCAGCATACAGATATCACATTACTTAAATTTAAACCCGGGAAAAAATTTCATGCGTGATCAAGTTTTTGTTTATCCAATAACACTGGATTTACAAAAACAAATTAAACAGTAAAATTAAATAAATACTTATTTGCACGCATGAAATTCTCTTTTTTTTATTTGAATTGTAACAAAACACGCACGTAATGATGTTATTGCGTATTGCATCAACTCAAATAAACTAAAATTTGCTGAGTGATCAGTGCTCAGCTTGTGATAATTTTTGGAACATGATAAAAATCTTGATAAATTATTACTCATCTTGTGACTTCTTTGCACCTTGATAAAAATCTGATGAAAGAGTGATCCCTCCGAAGAATTAATCACAACATAATAACATGAAAATTGCAGACTTGATTTGATTGAGTCTGTACGTGAGGGCTTATAAAATAGTGTAATATCGCTCGCGCCGCCAGCACCGGCTGAAGCGGTACCCACTGTTCAACACGTAAAGGTGCAGGGTCCGTCACCTGCAGTGGTTAAAACATGCGATTTCAAATCAATTCGGTATTGTCACTAGCCTGCGTACTTAAATGCTCATGCCAACTGACTTTAACCATGCGTCCAGTAGGTATTCAGTCAGTACTAACTTCGAAATGTTTCCTTACTATGATTGAAGGTTCTCTCCAGATTGAAAGAGCGTGGAAAGGTTAAGATGAATAATTTTGTGTGTTACAAAACATAAGATGTACGACTGTATGCTCAATATTAGATCGATTCAATTTCTTTATTGAGCTGAGTGTATCGAATACAAATGAGTTATATCACTATAAAATATTTTGCAAAATAAGTCAGTTAAAACATGCTTAAAAATAATTTTACTTACCTTCAATGGTTTTAAACTAGTATCCGTAATTTCTTTTTCAAAATTTTACAAACGTTCCCAATGCAAACAGCAGAAATGAAAGTTCACTTATTTACATCTAGATCTAATATAAACTATTTCAATGTTTAGTTTTCAAATTCCACTCAAAAGATACTCATCTAAGAGTGTTGTATTTCTTGTTTTTAGATAAATGTTTCACATATTTAATAGTATAAAAATTGGATAACATGTATTTACATTTCATAATTTCCAAGTGAAATAACCGAATTTAAGTTATATCCCGTAGCCTGGAATTATACTCAAACTATTCAGTTAACATATATACAGCCCCGTTTTTGTTTAACAATGTCACCATCATAATCACTTGAAGTTATTCCTTTTACAAGCTGTAAATTATCTTAAAATATAATTCCATGAAATCTGTAGATTTTTTTTACTATTTGATTTTGTACTTAAATGTTTGTCCGAAGAGAAAATCGACATTTTCGCAATTTCACAGCATACATTGTAACAAGGGACGACATTAATCAACTTCGTGCTGCTTACGGTTTTATTGCAGAATAGTCGGAGAAATAAAATATTCCCACCTAAAACAAACCGTATGTAAACAAAACACTGTGAAACATGAAATAGCGTTTGATGGATCAAGAAGTTCAAAAGATAGAGAAATTAATTATTCATAATTTCCTACATGATACCGATCATTTGAAAGATGAAAATGTGCTTCCAATTTATCGAGACAGACAATATTGTTTGACCCTTTCTGTGCTGACGCTTTTGATTAAATCATAAACAGAAGAAATGAAAAACCGTTACTTAATCACATAATCCCCTAATAAGCCCGCTACAAAACATACATGAAACGATTCACTGAGAAATAAAGAATGAAATAAAATCTTTTGAAATCGTGAGAATAATTTATCCTACCTTCTTAGAAGATCATATTAATCAAGCGTAACGTCAAAATAGCTCCGAATGAAATATATTCACTATTGCAACTATTCCTGTATATACTGGCATGCATATTGATTTGACTATTTCCCAGCACAAGCTAATTAACGTATATCAATACATGTTATCCTGTAAACACTACGACTAACGCTACAACACGTGTCGGAAAACAAGGTAATTATTGCTAACAATGTTTCCAGCATTGTTTTACTTAACGAATCTAATTATATAGACTATAAGATAGCAATTACTTCCAGGACGGCCTCTTATTAGTATTATCTACAAACAACCCACTTATAATACTGAAAATCACTAAGACTACGACTACTTCTTATACTAATACTTCTACTACTAAGAAGAAGGAACAGATTATATCTTTTACTTCAACTTTTAAGCGTATCTCGTTATACATCAAAACTGATACATCGAAAACATCTTATTACTGGTGGAATATAAAATACATAATAAATTGGTCAGTTTAACAATCTGGAGAAAAAGATTAAATTAATATAACATGTGCGTGTAAAAGGAAATTTAACAATTTAATTTTTTAGCGTAAACATGAAACTAAATAGGACAAAAATTAAAAAACTAAGCAAACAAACTTAACGTCACCATAGTGTGGGTTACTGCAACGGTGACGATAAATTGAATTTAGATAATTCGTTTATTCATTTCTTTTTTAAATTTCAGTATTATTGTAGAAAAAAATTTTTTGTAAGTACTAGGTCACACAGTAGATGTAATTAAGTACATTTCAGATACTTTTTTTCTGACAGTTTATCTGCCCTGTTTAGAAATATCACAACTATTGTGCCAGAACACGCAAGTAATCTGATTTTAGCGTAATATCGCAATATAAATAACAATTTCCGAGACGTATTTCTGACACAGCATCTTTTAGGACGAGAGAAACTTTTTATATTCACCATCTTAAGTCTTTTTTGTCTCCATAGTAATCTGAAAGTCTTCCAAGAGAGTAAACATGCTTATTTGACAAATATATTTCAGGTCTATAAATATGAACATTTATTAGTTATGAAAATATTTTTACCCGACAATTATATGATCGAATTCTAGATGCTTTATTAAAGACGTAGGAGCTTCATCTTAGTTTGCATCAATTTCTTCAAGTTATCAAAACATATCTTAATAAATAAAATAGAGAAAATAAGAATCCCTAAAGAAAGCCCAACACGACAAAATTGAAAATGTTGCAGGCTCATTTTGATTGAGCCTGTTCATGGACGGTACTGTCAAGTGCAAACTACCGTCCATGCCTCCTAGCACCGGCTTAAGCAGAATTTAAATAAACCGTGCTTATAGTTATTGCTTAATAACCAAGGATAAACATAAGTTTCAGGTACACGAAACATTATCAAGAACCATGAAAAAGTTTAGTTTTTTACACATAGTGTATGTCCTCTGTCACATTTTTCAATTCTACACTTACGTTTAGAAACCAAAGGCCATGACCGGTTGCATTAAGTGTTAACAAATATTAGATTTGAACAATTAAAAGAGTCTGTTTTACAGTAAATGAAATGTTTCTTGGTGAATATAAAACAAAATATCTGGCTATTTAACGAAAATAAATGTCTGAGTTCTGAGTTTCTATTCCCTGTTATGTTGTTGCACGTATTGTGTGTTTTATTGCTTCAACAAAAAAAAACAATGTCTAAGAAACCTTTATCCAAATCCGATTAATCTGTTCTCATAGGATTAGTGAGTATGTGCTTCTAGACAAAGTAATGGCTCTGCCAAAAAAAAAAATAATAAAAATGAAAACACTGTTTTTCTTAAAATTGACGTATCTTGTACTAGGTTACGTAACTTAAATGTAGTACTGTAGAGTTTGGCAACATTGTTAGTTTGTGAAAATATTATGTCACGTGTGGGATGCAATCACAATGATACAAATCTTAACATAATGCTCCAGCTGACAATTCTTATAACACATTGCCTGAAACACTTATATTTATTGTAATTGAATACTACAAAAACATTAATAAAGAGATAAACCATACTCTAAGAAGTAAACTTACAAGTGTAAGTATAATTACAACATATCATCATTTTTTGCACTAGATAGATTCTCAAAAAAATTAAGTGGAACTACTTATCATTATTATCTATGTAACACCGGCACAATTGTTTGATTACTCGAAGAGTGTGATAATACATATGAGTATACCTAATACGTTTGTTTTATATGATAAAATATATACATGATAACATGATCACACTTCAATGATAAAGGTATACCTATCAACATATATAATCAAATTCGCCTTGAGTAAAATATGACATGTGCTCACATTTAAAAAGAACCTGACCTTTGACAGAAACGCGCGATTGCATTATACAAAGAAAATAATATTTAATCGTTAACGTTCAAGTATATGTCAATCAGCATATCATTTAGACAAACAAATTCAATGAAATAAATTTAGGAAATTTAGACACTTGGCCAGCTGCTCATTAATCATGTTTGCTAAATTCAATACAGGTCGTTTTTAAATAGCTCGCTGTTGATCCAACTCAACAACCTTGACACTGTTAATTGATTAATTAAAAGCCACTTGTCTTTTATTCGATTACAAATAATGTCAATTGACAATTAACTTTGAGTAAAATACCAATTCAAGACCATGTCTAAATAGTAAAGTTATAGCGAGAACAAATATATCAATATTGTTTTAATCGTATATTGGATAGTGACATCAATTACATCAGAGACATAGATACATCTCTGATTATATATTGCATTATAGCGTCAATATAATGAAAATGTCGTATATTTGATAATACAAATTGTATTTGATTATTATAATATAAGCCATTCACAACAACCTTATAATTTAATGTAAATAGTTCTGAATATCTCGTTGTTTATTTTTTCATGAAAAAAAATCATTCTTAAAACCTTTTTACCTTTAAAAAAACTTAACAATACCACAAAGAAAACAGAGAAAAGAAAACAACACCATTTTATCAATTATATTTGATTTTGAATAAATTTTATAAGTACAAAATGCTTGAGCTAACCTATGTTTTCAGCTGAAAGAACATTTCATCAGTCAAACGATAAAAATACCAATATAATTATTATATCATATAATATAATAATCTTATTGTTTTACAGAATTATACACTGAGATAAACGATCTATCATCAGACTTTATACTATAGAGATTATTATATGATTAAAATATACAATATATATAAGTAAAAAATCATATCAATATTTCCTAGAAACCTAACCTTTAACTTCATAGATATATGCCTCCGATATGTATATCCTATTCTAAGAGAATCATTACAAGTCAAAACACTATATTTTCTGTTTAAACTGGTACGGAAAATGGTACAAATATTCGTATAGCATTCAAATATCTGCCATTCCATACATTGTTATTACACGACGTCGTTGGTAAATACAGTTAACCGTGTTTCTCACATTCCCAAAATGAATCAATTCTCATAACAAAATACGTAATAAGGCTATTACATCCTTAATAGAAACACGTGTTTATGTAAATAAAAGTAAATAAAAGTATATGTCCGTCTGTCTGTCTGTAAAAATATAAGATCTTACTAATTAAAAATTATGATAAAAAGAGAAAAATTCTTGTAAGATGTGCAAATTTCTAAATAATTTCTGAATTATAACCATACTGTAAACGAGACCTTCGATTAGAAAATAAATAATATGTATAATAATGTAATGAAAAGTCCTACAATTAACTATTCACCACCAATATATGTATCTGGTGTATGTACCTTTTTTAATTTATACATATCCAATAGTACTTTTTTTCAAAACGCGAATTAATGTCTTTTCTTCTCAAATATTTTAAATATATTGAAATATGTTTTATATTAAATTTTATATATTTTTAAAATAAAGTACAATATGATTATTTGACTGTTTATAAAAACATGGAGATTTTTACACTAATTCTCACGGAAATTTTATAATTTTCAAAGGGTTTTTTATCGGATGTTTGCGATTTTTGGTGATAAAATTTTCACTGCAATCCAATCAAGCAATTAATCTTCTTGCAAGGTTGCACGGATTATCTTTATAATGTAGCAAGTGCATGTGGACGTGTTTGATATGATAACACTCCTGCATTCCAAAAAAAAAAATGAATATTTCATTGGATGTTAAAAAGCTAGTAAGATTTTAAATGGTTCCATCCAAAAATGTTGTGTTTTCTTGTTTTATTATATCTAACTTGTGTAACCCAATCATGTCAAATGATATAATTCATATTACATTGGAAGCAGTGTATTCAATATATGTAAACATGGCAATGTAACTATGTAAAACAGAAACTTTCACACTATCAACGGATATGCTGCTCAGAGAAAGGATGAAGCATCTCAAAGGATCAGCCTCGAATCAGTTCTCATAAATAATCATAATTCCATTCAAATAAGCTACAGGTATATCTTACAGAGTCATTCCAATAACATTATAATTATGCATTACAGGCATTTTGTACAATGGCTGGTGTCCTGTTGAATAAGACTTAAAAGCGATTATTAGGTTAAATTCTTGAAAAGGGGTTAAAACGACCATGTCTTTTTTAAGTTGTTTGCCCTCAAAGAAAATTTGACTGCTTTGAATTTTTATAAAACCCCATAAGTATAAGATATAATAGGAAATCGTCCAGACAATTGTAACATGAAATACTAGTACTTGTCGAATCTGGAACAAAATATATTAAATCACTGCATGTAATGCATATCAAATGCAGCTGATGCAACTGAAAATTGGTGTTAACATTGGTGTTAACCTTAGTGTTTACATAAAACAGTAGATCATAGAGAATGTTGGTAGCGAAATAACAGTCCTTCAAACAGCATGTTTTATGAAGTTGTAGAAGATTAGAGAATTACAAACAGGGACAATAAATAATGATTGATTAAAGGCATGCGATCGAAGTTAAGTAATTAGTAGCTGTCTAATTATATTAGTATCGATTTTAATAAATATTGTTTCGACGGTATAAATTGTTTTCAAATTTTCACCAGCAAATTCCAAATATTGTGTATATAAAAGTACCCTTCCATTATGTCCAAGAAAATATTTGA